AAAAAAAAAAAAAAAAAAAACAGCCCGGCCATTTCCGTCCTGCCTTTTCAGGTGTCGCTCCCGTTTACTCTCTGGCAATTTGCTGGCTCTCTTTCTCTCGCGCCACTCGTTCGCTTAATGCGGGCGTTGATGGCGAATTGACTCTTAACACGGCACACTTCATCGTACCCAGTCACCGCTAAGCTGCTTTAAAAAAAAAAAAAAAAAAAAAAAAAAAAACAGCCCGGCCATTTCCGTCCTGCCTTTTCAGGTGTCGCTCCCGTTTACTCTCTGGCAATTTGCTGGCTCTCTTTCTCTCGCGCCACTCGTTCGCTTAATGCGGGCGTTGATGGCGAATTGACTCTTAACACGGCACACTTCATCGTACCCAGTCACCGCTAAGCTGCTTTTAAATAGCGGCGTGATCAAATATGACACAGCTGAACACACCGACATGGGGAAGGCGGGGAGGGGGGGGGCGGGCACTTCGATATCGATGGAAGTGGCCTAGATCGCATTTGTTTACATCCGCGTCGATTTCCGCTTGCGTGGCACCGAGATGAAAAGAGAGACATTACACAGCTCGCGAAAGAATACAACCGACCGCACATTGGGGGGCTTTTCCCGTCGTTATTTTTTGAACTCACCTCTGAGACACGGCGCCACAAACAAATACGCAGTCGGCGACGGCTTCGCGCTCATTTTTTTTGAAGCGCTACCGGTTACGCATCAAAACAGGCTCGCGTGAGAAGATCAATGCTGAAAAAGCGCAGCGATTCCATTTTCTGCGTTCTGATCAAAGTTGCGAAAAGAGCCCTTTTTTACGCGGTCGCATTAGAGCGCCACGTTGTCCGCCGTGAGTGAGAGCCAAGGAAGTCAAAGGAGGCCGGCGTCGCTGCTTTTGAGCGCATCGTAAGGGGGATATATTCCCGAGGTTTGAAGCGGATCAAATCTCAGGTGTCGGCAAAACAAAGACAGAAAGACAAAGTGGCCTCGATTTTTTTCCTGGTCGTCGGAGAGGAATTTGATTGACAGTCACCTGGTTTCAGTGACTTCACGTTTTTTTTTTTACATGCAAAAAATTTTGCTGACTCTCGCGCGGACTGAAAAATTAGCTGCGGCAAACTTTTTCTCGGCGGCTCCTCCGGGGGGAAGCCGAGCACGGGCGCGCAAAAGTAGGACAGATCCCGCTCGAAACGCCGCTTCCGACGACCGCGTCGACGACAAACGGCGGCCGCTTTTCGGTCCCGTTCGTCCGCGGCGCGCTGCCGACATTAGCATGCAAACGCGCTCGCGCGGGAGAGTAAACAACGGCGCGCCAATTAAAATGGATGCTCGCCATTAGGATGCGGGGAGCTTCAGAGGGCCGCAATCATCGCGCTGCAATCACAAAATAATCACCGGGAAATTCCCGCTGCGGGGGAAAAAAAGACGAGTACCCTTTTTCTCAAAACACGCACGCGCTAGCGTGTTTTGTTTTCACAGTCCAGGGATGCCGAGCATCAATACTACAGTTGCCGTTTTAAAAGGCTGCACCAAAAAGAATTTTGCACTCCAAGTAGGTCAAGAACATCGGAGTCGCCCGGGTCAAAAATTATATTCGGCAAAAACAACGGTTTGGGATTGCTCGTGATCAACACCGGGCCCAAATCCAACGATTATTTCCACGGCAGCGAGCAACATCGTAATGGGATACTACAAGACCCCCCCCCTTCCCCCCCCCGCCCCCACAAAAATCCAAAACGGGTCACAGAGGCAGCAGATAAATCAGGGGTGTCAAACATACGGCCCGCGGGCCGGAACCGGCCCCCCAAGGAGGTTTGATCAGGCCCGCAGGGACAATTTAAATGTGAAAATAAATACATAAAAGACACAGAATGAATCATTTTAATAAAGTGCAATTCATGGATTATCCGCTAGGGGGAAGACTGTTTTCTCTTTAGTTTGTAAAGTACAGGAAGGGATTACATTTCGATTTTATTCGCACACGTGCAAATGGTTCCAAAATTCCTTTCTTTCAAAATCTCATTTCATCTTCAAATGCATGACGATATTTTTCAAAAGCAATTACTTGTCAAAAGATTTGTGCCTTTGTACAATCAGCGGTTGCAATGCATAAATGATCAAAGTAAATTGCACATTTGTCAAAGGACATTCAAGGTGTTTCGCGAAATGTTTAATCAAAGATATGTTCACGAAAGGTCAACATTTTCCGAATGATTTTGCGCTTCACAAAAGAGATGATATTTTGGATATTTTTGGGGCAGAGTGTGGTATAATTTTCATGGTCCGGCCCACTTGACATCTGCCGAGGCCGTCCGCGGCCCACAATGTCAAATGAGTTTGACACCCCTGCGCTAAAGGTTTGAACCTGGATCTGATCCCCGAACCACTCTTGACATTTTCTCAACTGTCGGGTCACAGAGGCAGCAGATAAATCAGGGGTGTCAAACATACGGCCCGCGGGCCGGAACCGGCCCCCCAAGGAGGTTTGATCAGGCCCGCAGGGACAATTTAAATGTGAAAATAAATACATAAAAGACACAGAATTAATCATTTTAATAAAGTGCAATTCATGGATTATCCGCTAGGGGGAAGACTGTTTTCTCTTTAGTTTGTAAAGTACAGGAAGGGATTACATTTCGATTTTATTCGCACACGTGCAAATGGTTCCAAAATTCCTTTCTTTCATAATCTCATTTCATCTTCAAATGCAACATTTCTTTTCACTTGACAGGGACTTCAAACTTGAATCATCAAGAACGCCTCCCAAGTGATTCTAAAAGCTCCAAGTTTTGGTTGAAAATCGACAACTTCAAACGGCATTTCGATCGCATCCTTTTTTTGTGTGACAACCCTTCAAGCTCCACAGCAAATATGCGTCGAGCGGATCGACTTTGACCCGGAATGCAAAAACCATCGCCCGACGGGCCAATCGCGGTTCCCTACCGGTTTCTCGGGAGATCTGGACAAACGCCTCCACGCCGCTCTCGCCGTAGTTGCCCTCCGAGGCCAGCGTGGACACGTAGTTCCACTCCATGGCCGTCACGATGTCCATCATGGCCTGCGCCTGGTAGGAGTCCGGCGGCACCACGCGGGAGAAGAAGTCGTAGCGGGTATTGTCGCTCAGCTCGGGGGCCGTGGACGCGTAGCTGATCTGCGGGATCTGGAAAGAGAGAGAGAGAAACGAGGTCAGTTCAATCCGTTGCTATTTGGGCAAGGAGAAGCGTAAGTCGATCGCAGCGATTCTCCGTTGGCTCGGACATGCGGCACGCCACCAGGAGGGCGAGCTGATCAGGGGATGTTCTGGTATAATTTTCATGGTCCGGCCCACTTGACATCTGCCGAGGCCGTCCGCGGCCCACAATGTCAAATGAGTTTGACACCCCTGCGCTAAAGGTTTGAACCTGGATCTGATCCCCGAACCACTCTTGACATTTTCTCAACTGTGTTCACCTGCACGGGGGGGTGTACACAAGTGACTGACTGCTGTCACAGCACGTTGCGCCCGAGCGCGCAGCCCCCACCCCCCACCCCTCGGAGGGCAGGAGAGCACACTATCTGCTGACTCCTTCAACACACACCCACACCCACACCCACGCGCTGATGTGACACGCGGTAAACATCGATGTGCTGACTGCCGCAGCTCGCAGCCCCGAGGCGAGCCGGCTCCAAACATGCACACGAGAGAGGAACTCGCGAATGGACGCTCGCAGACCCGCGCACGCGGCTGTCGCGCGCAAACACTCGGGAGGCGGTGAGACAGCCTTCACATCTTTAAGCCCATCAGTCAGCAAATATTTGCCCAAAGTGATGCTCTCCAATAAGACAAGGAAGCCCGGGCCCGTTTCTGATCCGTCAATATCACTTTCGGGAGCTGACGCGAGGTCCCTAGCGGCGCGTCGCGCATCCCAAAAAACAAAAAAAAAAAAAAAAAAAAAACACCCCGCCCATTCTGCTCCTCCCTTTTCAG